CCTTCTGCTGAGCAAGTTCTTGAGAAAAGAAAGCGCTTTTGGGTCCTTCTCTGTTCTATACTATCAAAAGCCCGTAGTTTTTGTGTTTTTTGGAAAATGCGTTGTTTCAAAATAGTCAAAATATTATCTTTATCTTAAAGTTTAACTCTTTCTAAGTTGTGTTGTTGTGATTATTATTGTTATGGAGCTTAAGTGCTTTTATTTAAGTGGTTTTTTTTTTTTTTTTTTTGTTGCATTCGGAGGCAAAGAGTAGTTTGCTTTTGTCAAATGGATTTGTTAGTTCATGGCTTGTTATGTTGTTTATGAATTAAATATATTTTTTTGCTTAAAAGGAGAATATTTTCTAATTTGTGTTGTTTGCTGTGATGAAGCCTAAGTGAGCCTATTTAGGTGAAGTATATGATGTATTATGATCTTGTTTTGGGCCTTTGTATGAACTTGAGTCATAAAATTTTAGTTAATTATATAAGTATATTCAATGTGAAGTTACGAGAGTGCATTATTACTTATTTCTGCTTGATTATCACTTTTTATCAAAGAATCCAATTTGATTTATTGTTTTTGAGTTATTGCTAATATTGTTGAAGAGAAATGGGATATCTATGTGACACGAGTGTGCTGAATTTTCGTGAACTTGTTTAAATTTTTGTAATGTTTGGTTGTAAAGCAAAGTTGTACGCAAATACTAAGCCAAGTTTATTGCATGATTGATTATTCTTTATTTTTGCTGTTCCTTGTTGTGATTAGCCGTTATTATTTCTTTGTTTGGTGTAAGCTCAATATTGTTGAAGGGAAAATGCTATACTTGTTTGATGAGAGGGGATGCGGTACCTGGATGCTTTTGCTGGAATAGTTACTGTGTCTAGTGGGCATTGCATCCTGATATCGTGAATGCTATTACAGGGCAAGCAATCTTCTCCTGCGTGCAACGACTATTTACACCATGCTATAGTTGACTTTGCTGAGGCATTGTGTAAAAAATGCCTGGAAATCTAAAGGTTTGTTCGAGTCTAGCACTTGATGTCATTCTTCTCTTATATGGTGATTTTTTTTGGATGAGATTTTCATTTTATAACATTACAATTAAGATGGCCACTTAATAACAAACATTATGATGACAATGTAAATGTCTTTAGTTACTTTGAGATTTGAAATGCAGGTTGTGTATTTCGTCAATTCTGGGACAGAAGCATGAAGTAGCAATGTTGATGGCCAGACTTTACAGTGGTAATCTTGGCATGATTGCCCTAAGAAATGCTTATCTGGTGGAAGCTCCAATACAATTGACTGACTGCCCTAAACACGTGGAAGTACCTGATAGAAACCCACTCCAATAACTCAACAATTTGGGCTGGCCATGGGTCTTCATGGGCTTGGGTAGAACTCTCCTTGGAAAACGGCTTGCCAAGGGAGGGTGCCCAAGCCTTTATAACCACATGCCCACCCTTTCCCTTTCAATGTGGGATCCTAACATTCCACCACGCTTCCGCAACTGACGTCCACGTCGGTCTCTTTACCCCCGTCGCCTCTTTACCCCTTGGGTGACTACGCGGATCCCCTTTCCCTCGGGCCTCCATGCCCTTTCTCGGGGTAGCAGCCCGGGCCCAAGGTCAGCCTGCCACGGGTCAGCCTGCCACGCGTGCGCTACCATATAGGGCAGGATCATGCTCTGATACCAATTGATAGAAACCCACTCCAATAACTCACAATTTGGGCTGGGCCATGGGTCTTTCATGGGCTTGGGTAGAACTCTCCTTGGAAAACCGGCTTGCCAAGGGAGGGTGCCCAAGCCTTTATAACCCACATGCCCACCCTTTTCCCTTTCAATGTGGGATCCTAACAGTACCCCATACCACAGGTTTGTCGACGTTCTATATGTTCAGAGGATATGTATTTAATATGGTTTTTTGTTTGGCAAACTTTTGATATCTGGAATTGTTTGGAATGACAACATAGTGTGAAGCTTATCATCTCGGGAACAATAGGGATTAATAGCACTTCTTTCTTCTCTCATACACTTATCGCAAGGGTAAGCTGGTTTAGTAAATATCTAACAATGTTAAGGATAAGCTGGTTTAGTAAATATCCAACAATGTTAACATGGGGTGTGAATTGCAGCTTATTTTACAAGTGTTGGCCGTGGCATGCTTACTTCTTCAGTCTTGTCTTCTGACACACACCCATAACTGTAGCAAGTATTCTGAATATTTTTAGTGAAGAGTAAATTGATTGTATCATATATACTTAGTTTATTCTCTTTGTTTGTTTATTTGATGAATAGAAAAAATAATTAACATGTTTAAGAGTGACATTCAACCTGTGTTCATAATCTGACCTGCCACTTTGCAGGGTTAAATCCATCATGTTGTAAATCCAGATCCATGCCGTGGAATCTTTGGCTCGAATGCGGCCCTTTATGCCAAAGACGTACAAGTTCACATTGATTTTGGAAGTTCAGGAAAAGTTGCTGGTTTTATAGCTGAAACCATTCAGGTTTTTATTGATAGTTGTCCCTAAAGATATATTTAAATTTGGTGCTTTCAACAGCCCTGAATTGGTCTCTAAACATTGCACTTCTCTTTTTCAAAACTTTGACTGAATTTAGGGAGTTGGTGGATCAGTGGAATTGGCCCCTGGATACTTAAAACATGTTTATGACATTGTGCGCAAGGCTGGTGGTGTCTGCATTGCTGATGAAGTGCAAACTGGATTTGGTCTCACTGGAAGCCACTACTGGGGCTTTCAGACAAAAGGGGTCATTCCCGACATAGTTACCATGGCAAAGGTTTGATGATAATCCCTTGAGTTCTTAATCTTGCCCTATACATTAACAATTAGCCTTTTCCAATATTATCACTAATTTAGTTTTTTTTTTTTTTTTTCCTTATGGTTCTCATTCAGATAATTCATTTACATTACGATAATATAATTTTCCAGGGAATTGGCAATGGTTTGCCATTAGGAGCTGTAGTGACAAAACCAGAGATAGCTAGTGCAATGGCTCAGAAGATTCAGTTCAGCAATTTTGGTGGAAACCCGGTATGTTCTGCTGGTGGGCTTGCGGTGCTCAGGGTTATCGATAGAGAGAAGCGTCAAGCACATTGGTTCTCACCTGATTGAACGCTTGAGAGCTCTACAAGAGAGACATGATAGTAATTACTCTTGAACTAATAACTTCTCAGAGTTTTTTTTTTTTTTTTCCCTCAATTGACTGTGTTTGCTTTACATTAAATTGAGCTACAAATTTGGCGAGATCTGGGCTATGTAACCATATTTTCTATATCATGTAAACAAATGTCCTAGACTGAGTTTCTGAGTAAGCTCATTACAGTCATACTAAGACTTTGAATTAGTGTGTATGTGCCAGCATGCGCACATATTCTTTCTACTCCCGTCCAGAAATTTATGAACTAAGCTCTTCAGGAGTAGGTATATGAGTGGAAATCTATTTTCATTCTATAGGTTTTCATGCAGCACTGAAAATAAATCATTCTTCTTATAACGGCATTTGGAGATGTTTGGCAGAAGCACCGATTGACATCACATCATCATGTTGAAATGATGGTGTGATATGACTACTATAGAGACTAATAATAACATATCCTGTGCTGCTGATACACAATGTCTACTTATTCTGAACATCCTAAGTCTTCACATAGATCTGACGAAGTTTTCTGTGGCTTTCTGATTCTCTCTCGCTGTATCTATTTTTGTTCAATTGAACAGCTGTTTGAGTACCTGAGATTAAATGTCTTATGCTTTGGAATTGCAATTTTATTATGCAGCTTTTCTCAGATTGATGAAATCTTGTCTCAGTCATTGGAGATGTGAGAGGGAGAGGACTCATGGTGGGAGTAGAATTAGTAACTGACAGGAAGGAGAGGACGCCTGGGAAGGCTGAAACTGCAGTCTTGTTTGAGATGCTTAGAGGTACAATTAACCAGCTCTCTTCTTCAGAGAAAAACTCTTGATTCACATTTTACATTGACTCGTTGCAATTGCAGAGCTCGGTGTTCTTGTTGGGAAAGGTGGACTGCATGGAAATGTTTTCAGAATCAAACCACCAATGTGTTTCACCAAAGATGATGTAGGTAACTTTCTTTAGCTTCCTTTCATCAAATAGATTTTACCCATAGCCGTTGAATCTGTTATTGTAAATTTGTTTTGTCATAATGCTCAATCACACTGTTCTGTTGTAAAAATGCAGATTTTCTTGTTGATTCTTTGGACTATGCAATGTCAAAGTTATGAGAGTATTTTTCTTTTAAGAGCCTGGCAAAATCATGTAACTCTTCAAATCCGTTGAATATCAATCTCTTCAGAAAGCTTATTTTTCAATAATATCAAGCATGTTTCCACAAATTTCAGCTCACTGTTAAATGATGAAATGTATATTATTTCACAACATTTTCCAGGTGGGATAATTGAAGTATATAATTCTACTTCTTTGACTGTTAATCCCTCCCTGCAAATGATGAAATGTATATTATTTCACCATGGATTCTGATCATGCTAAATATTCATTTATGAATTCTTATGTGTGTATATCTTTATTATCTTGTAGTTTTTAACATGCGGATCAACGACTAATTGTTGACTTTTGATACGCACGCACGTCATGATCAAAGATTGGCAATATCTATATACATCTTTTAGAGAATGATTGTGATAATCTTGAATGCAATCTTGATTGGAAGTCCTAACTATTTGAGTTTTAATAGCGATATAAGTATGTTAATTTAGCAGTTATAAGTTCTGGTCCCCATAGCCATACAAAGGAAACAAACCAATTTAACCAAACACAACATCATAAGAAGACCAGAATAAACCAGTAATGGCAGTTTATAACAATGAAAAGAGTAATCAACATTTTTTCACTGCCAGAAAACCAAACTTCAGCAAAAGTAGATAGTAACTCTGTTGAAGCGCAACAGAAAAACCATCCGGCAGTAAAAGAATATGTAGAAATCTGGAAATATTTGTGATAATATTGAATGCAATTGATAAGTAGTCCAACTATCTGGAAACAAATCTGATAATGCAAAATTAAAGGCGAAAGCAGCCTCAGAAGGCAGAAACATCAGGAAAATTTTAAGTTCACAATAAACTAGTGTTTCAAACAAAACAGAAAATTCAAATAATGGCGGCTTACAACATTATCAAGTTGCAATCAGCATCATTTCACAGCCTAGAAAACCAAAAACCAGAAATATTAAAACAGAATGTTTTCACGCACAGCAGTCCACTAACATAATTCGATTCCAGGGAAGAAAATCCAGAAAACATTTAGATGACAGTCATCAGAATATGTGTCCATCCGCCAAGTTGCCAGCTAAATCTTTAGCATGTCCATACGAGGTCAAGCCAGTCTGATAACACAACGAATAACATAAGAAAAAAAGCTACTTCACAGTTCTTGAATAGAATGGAAAGCGGCAGCGCATAGGACATGAATATAAACTGCTGAAGGCTAGCTGATAAATTCATGAGTTTCATATGTATGTTTTAAAAAAAAATTCCCTCCGTTTATTCCCAGAAATGGAGTATCCAGTGGAGGGTTTCCTACCAAAGCAAGATGAAACCTGCTGTTCTGAATTTGCACAAGCATCAGCCATCATTTTACCACCCGAGGGACATGGGAAAGTAAAAGGGAATCATTCAAGTTGTTCCAATAACCTTGTATAATAAGCTCATGGGTTTGGAGTTACATCACCTTTTCTTTAAGAAGATTCCAACCTCCAAGTTTGACTAAAGTCTAGCCCAATCCAGGCGCTTCCGATGCACATGGTGTGCAACCACTTTGTACCCGGTATACGTTAAACTGTAAAATACAGTGAATATTTACATCTATAAAAAAGATAATAACACAGCCATATGTTATTTCTACATTTATATTTCCTTTTTTCTTTTGAAATAATAAGGTTAGTTATGCTTCACCTATAAATCAAATATTAGAAACCAAACCGAAATAATTTCGTGAATTTAATCCAACTTACTAATCCGTTCTTATCGGTGGCTTGTATATTTCTGAATGTGGGGACCGGCTATCTAAAGTTTCATACAGGTTTTTTTCGTACATTTCATCATGTTTCATGCAGCAACGGAGAGAGCACCTCAAGCAGCCATTTATAGCTGGAAATCTCTGGTGTCTGTCCACTTTTGCATCTGTTCTCATATAGTTATCTTTGGCGTACAAGAATCTGACTCCACACTTTTTCACCTTGCTTCTTTTTCTGTTATTCTTACTTCCATGCTCGACAAAGAACTTCATGTAGCCCTTGCTATTCAAACTGAGAGTAAGCAATTCCAAGGCCATGATATCGTAATCATATCCTAAGAATACATGATCTGATTCAATAACCTCATGCCTATCATCATTAAACAAACAGCCAGCGGAAATGATCTTGTCGTTAACAACCAGAAAACAACGAACTTGCAAAGCTCCAGCCTCTTCATAGTCTCGAAATGATGCAACAGCACACAAAGCGAAACCAATTAAGTCATCATTGAGCCAACCTGATGGAAGCTCTATATAACCATTCTGACTTTCAAAGGTAAACCAATCTGGAATTTCGCTTCCAGGGTAACGTAAAGAAGCCTTTGGCGGGCTATATGCCTTTGGCAGGTCAACGCTTGACAGCGATGTTTTGTTTTCCTGTGCCAAGAAAATCATCAACTTCTAACCTTCTTAATTTTAGATATTCTATAATTCTATAACATTTTATCTATAAAAGTAAATAAATTTTTATATTATATAATATGAAAAAGAGAGAGTGAGAGATAGACTTACTTCAGACCTAAACCATAGATCTGCATTTCTCTTGATATTCGGCAGAGTATCTGTCAAATCTAGTTTCAGATTGCAACAATTGATGAAGCTAATTTCCTCTTCGTGAGTCCCCATACTTAGGCATTGATTTGGTAAACCTGATACCGCTTCCAGTGATGTGCAACCCTTTACTTCTATACGTCGTGACTTATCTGGAATTTGCGGTAAGGATTTCAGCCTCTGGCAATTGCTTAAATCATGCTCTTACAATTTAGTCAGGTCTTTGATACCCTCTGGCAGACTCTCAAAATTGTTTCTGCCAAGATACAAAAATCTCAGTGAGCGTAATTCGCTAAAATTTTTGGGTAACACTTCGATACAACAGTCTTCCAGATTTAGCTGCTCTAGTTTGTGGCAGGCCGGTAACTGTAACAGTAGGGAAACCGGTGGCTTCTGAAGCCCACATCTCTGGAAAGATAATATCTTAAGGTTGTTCAAACATGTTAAAGTCAATGACGATATATCTCTTATACCAATTCCCTCCACTTCAAGTTCCTCCAGTGCTTCTAAATTTTTCAGGCCGTTAGGCAAGCTGTCAAGTTTTGAAGAACCTAAAAGATAAAGACATTGAAGAGATTTAACCTCACAAATGCTCTCTGGGAGACTCTCTAGTCTTAAACAATTTTTAAGACTCAATGTTACTAGCGTAGACAGATGCTCTAATGGCGGCAATTCTTTGATTGCAGTTCCATCCAAATATAATTCTTCTACACTACTAGGGATGCATGGAACTGTTTTGATCTTTGAACAATTGGAGAGAATAACTATTCGAAGATTTTCTGACTCACCAATGTTCTCTGGGAGACTCTCCAGCTTTGAGCAATTTTCAAGACTCAATATTTTTAAGCTGGAAAGATGCTTTAATGACGACAATTCTTTTATTGCAGTTCCATCTAAAAATAACTCTTCTACTGTATCGGGGATATATGGAACTGTTTTGAGATTTGAACACTTGGAGAGAATAAGTTTTCGAAGAGATCTCTAACCAGGGTTGATTGGAAGACTTTGAAAGCTTTTACATTCTCTTAGACTCAAGAGGACAAGCTTATTGAGATCACGGATAGATGAGAAATCCACATACAATTTTGTACAACCTTGTAGAATCAGGCTCTCAAGATTTGGACAAAATGAGGGATTTGGCATTTTCAGTAGATTCTGGGAGTGACTGAGGTCAATATGTTTGAAATTGTTAAGATTCTGTAACAAAAGAACAAATTGAATAAATTAAAAAAATAGAAATAGCATTTAAATATTTACAATTTAAAGCACAAAATAGTAATATACAAATTAACAAATACCTTGTCACAAGTCCAAAGTCGTTTAACTTCGCTATATGTCATGTAGAGTGCAACAAGGTTCTCTGGATCAAAATTTGGTGGCAATGATTTGGCAGGATAATTAAACCAACTAAGGTACCTTAGCTCAGAGAAATTAGATTTAAGGTCTTCAAAACCATATACCCTGACACCACGCGTGAAGCCATAGGCTTCCAAGAACCTTAGGTTATGCATCTCATTGAAAGCTTCAGGTTCTAAATGTATCTTTCCTGCTTTAGACATATCCAAACTTATGCTTCGAACAGTTCCTGTCCCCTAAAAATCAAGAGCAGATTGATGATAAATTAGTTTGAAATTTCTTAATTACATAATCTGTCAAGAAATTCCTTTATCTAGAGTTTCAATTAAAAAAAAAAAAAAAAAAAAAACTGTCAAGTACTTAATTCTCATAATAAACATTCTTTTTTTCAACTTTCTTTTCAAAATATGTAAATATAAGAGATCTCGGATTCCTACCGAATTACTTTACCAGTTAAGCTAATTCCCAAGGATAATGGAAGGAATATTCTGCAAGCTAATATTTTATTGTTTCTTATATATAAAGTAGAAATAAAAAATTAGTGTTTTTGGCTCTCAACGTATTGTTTTTCAATACTGAGCAGATATCCTCAGGATCCCACAAGCTACTACGTTTGCCAGGATAATTACCTGAATCATGGCGAACAATTGCTCTACCCATTTCTTGAAGTAGATCATGCATTGTTATAATTATGACGTTGGGTGGTGAGGTTGTCATGATGTTGGATGAGGTAGTTATGAGAGACATTTCAATGAGAACATTTATATTATGATGTGAGGTGTTGCCACGGGGATCCAAGAGTACTTGTATAAGATCTCTTTCACACCCTTTCAAGAAACATGCAATATCCAAAAATACTTGCTGTTGTTCATAATTTAGCATATCATAACTTACTTTTAATACTTGATGGATATGAATGAGAGGAGCTCTTTCCAAATTTTCCAGATAACTTTCCCAATGTTTTTTTGTCCTTCTAAATAGATGGGAACCTAACACTTTAAGAGCAAGAGGAACACCTTTAGCATATGCTACTGCCCTTGATGATAGCTCAGAAAAATCTTCTGCTGGACTGTTTCCACGAAAGGCATATTGGCTAAAGAGTTGAAAAGCTTCATTTCTAGATAATCCTTCCATCTCAATTATGTGTTTGGGATCCACTCCACATTCTTTTAGAACATGTTTATTCCTTGTCGTTATGATTATTCGACTATCTGAGTCCAAGTAGTCAAAATCTTCCATTAAATATTCTATTTGTTCTAATTTTGTCACATCATCAAACACAAGAAGAACACGTGCAAGTTTTTTCCTTTTCAAGGTGAATCCATTATTGAAATGTTTATCCCCTAAAATTGCAGAACTAAATCTTTGGCGTAAGTCATTTAATCTCCCGCTTTTTTCTGATTCTTCTCTAATATCTCGAATGAAGTAAGAAGCTTCAAACTGTTTAGAGATTTTTTTGAATACAGTGCCAGCTAGAGTTGTCTTACCTATACCATCATAGCCCCAAATTCCTAGCTTAAAAACACCAGCCGTACATAATAAGTTTTCAATTTTCTCAATCTTTGAATCCAATCCAACTAGGTTCTTGTTGTCAACTTCTGAGAACTCATCATTCAATTTGTTCAAAATATCTTTAATGATATCCTTTACAAGTGATGATTCGTGCCTAAAAGGTAAAAAGTAAATAAATAAAATAATACTAAAATTAGATGAATGAAAAAGAAACAAAGATAACATAACTTTAATTCCTAAAACTAAACTCCAACGAAGACTTTACTTATTAAAAAGTGATCAAAGAACGGCTTGTTTTCCATCCTAGGATATGAAAAAATTATGGAATAGAGTATTAAACTATTCTATTGCCCTAAATTTCAATATATAAGGTTGGCATAATAATGAACTGTCATGACAAGAACTAGAATATTTTCTTATTAAAAAATAAAATTGAAAGTTCAATGGCATCAAATTTCGATTCAAACATAATTGATAATCACTTACAAAACTTATGATACTCAATGACACATCTGTCAACCAATAAAAGATCAATGCTCAACTACTACAAAAGAAATGAAAATGCAGTTCATGGAAAAAAGAATTAATCAGTAATTAGCTGTCAAATGATATCATATAAAAATCTAAAGGTTAAGAATTTGAATATTTTTTTAATTTGTTTGCCTATAGGGTTTATCTATAAATTAATCGTTTTCAAAGTTGGATTTTCAATGATTGTTTTTTATGTTCTTGCTTAAGGTGTTTTATGTTCTTGTCAATAGATTGGGTCTTTTGAATGGCTTGATGTAGCATTTGTAGGATGTTAATTTTCTTTTTGTCTTGGTGTCATGGACGACGACGTGTTGTTCGGTGACATTCATACACTTTAAAAATTGTCAAGAACAGCTACTTCAAGGAAACCAATTTTTCTGATAGTGAAAGAGGAATTTTATAGCTGGAATATAGTTACAAAATTATAATCTAAATTATTAAGGTTAAAAATGTACCCCGTAACAGCTAAAAGATTAGAAACCCTTAATGCCAAAGAAGTTATCAATAGCAGTGTAACATGTTTTCAAGTTATTTTAATTTCAAATCATTGGATTTCAACATATATCGTGTTTTAAAAAGATGCATACATTTAATAATCCAATCCAATAATCAAGCATATATACATTTCATCTTTTCCTTAGGAGTTTTTTTATTTTATTTTATTTTCCTTATTAATTAGAGTTTGTTTTTGAAGAATTAGGATTCTTATGATTTCTTATCATATGTTAGACTGATTTCTTAGTTTTCATTTTTTTTTCTTTTGTCAAAGGAATGTAATTGTTATGAGGAAACATTTTTTCTATTAGAATTAGTTTTCCAAGTTAGTAACTTTTTCCCATCCATATAATGGTTTAATGACACTTTCTCACCCACAAACTTTTAAAATACCATTTTACTACCCAAATTTATATATCAATGGCCAACAGAGAGCAAACTCGATCAAGGCTATTGGGGCTTTTAAAGAGGGGAGGCCGATAAGTCTTTTGGTGGTAGACGGTTGGATTTTGATGGTTGAAATTAACTGGAATTTAACTTGGAAGGAGCGGTTGCAAAAACCTTAATCACTCGATTGCTAGCGATTGGCGGGTCGGCAGGAGTCGAGTTTGAGGGGTTTTGGTGAATGATGATCGGAGAAGAAAATTGTGGTGGTATGGGGTCGCAACGATGCCAAAATCAGAAACATAATATAAATTTAGGTAGTAAAACGGTATTTTAAAAGTCTATGGGTGAGAAAGAAGTCATTATTTAGGTGGAAAAAAAATCATTTACTCTTAGTTTTCCTAATGTTATTAAGGCCAAATGACTTGCGCATACCCAAGATTTGCCGAAACGACAAGTTGGTACCCAAAAGGTTTTGAAACGACAAACAAGTACCTTCTGTCATGTGCAGTTAGTGATTTCTGTTTGTTTATAGTGAAAGGACTAAAATGCTCTTAAAGGTTGAATTTTTAAGTTTTTTATAAATTTATAAAAAACCCCCTAGGTTTGCTAATTTAACTAAACACCCCCATATATAAAAAGTTTGTTAAATGACAAAAACACCCCCACACCTGCAGTGCCAGATTCCGGCCACCACTGTCGAAATCTGGCCGAAAATTGCGTTACGACACAGACCCCATCGGATCTGTGTCGTAACGAATCGATCTGGCCTTTCCGGCCTGGCCGTCAAAGCCACAGATGGAGTTTTGTGGCCACGACGGCCAGATCTAGCCGTAGATCTGGCCAGATCAGCACGAATCTAGCCGGAAAGGCTAGATCTGGCTGTCGAGGCCGCAAAACTCCATCTGCTGCCTCGACGGCCATATCTGACCTTTCCCGGCCAGATTGACATGTTATGACACAGATCCGACGGATCTGTCGTAGCGCAATTTTTTGGCCAGATTCCGACGGTGGTGGCCGAAATCTGGCATTGCAGGTGTGGGGGTGTTTTTGTCATTTAACAAATTTTTTATATATGGGGGTGTTTAGTTAAATTGGCAAACCTAGGGGGTTTTTTAGAAATTTTTAAATATATAAAAAACTAAAATATCAAATGTTTTAAGGGTATTTTAGTCTTTTCACTATGAACAAATAGAAATCACTAAAAACACATGACGAAAGGTACCTGTTTGTTGTTTCAAAACCTTTTGGGTACCAACTTATCGTTTGACAAACCTTGGGTATTCGTAAGTCGTTCGGCCATGTTATTGACAATGACGGAGCCAATTAAGGCCCAAGGTGGACCCGTGCCATCCCTTCAATTAAAAAAAATAAAAATTGCTAGTTTTTAGGCCCTCAATACTTTATACAATTCAAATTACCGCCCAAATAATGAGAAAATTTAGCTGCCCGGTTATACGAAGTTTCAATTTAAGAAAATGGCCTTGAAACTGTTCATAAAATATTTTATAATTTAGAGAAGATGACATGGCATAGTTAGGATTAATTAAACACGTAAAATGGGTTAAAATGAAAAGATTAAAACATATGTGGGCATAATCAGAAATAATGAAAGTTTTTAAAATTTGAAATTTCGCAAAACAAGCCCCACTAACTATTCACCCCGCTTAATTGAAATTCATTAGTTCAAAAAGCGATTTCTTGAACGAAAGGGAGACGCGATTTTTTCCGGGGGCAGTTTATTAAAACAACCTCTCAAGTTTGAATTTAATTAAAACGCTATCAAGTTTTAATGTTTTAACTAAATAGTCATATTATTAATTAAGGGTAATTAAACTTGATTAGTGCTTAATTATGATTAAAGAAGTATTATGTAATCTTTTAAAAATTATACTATATTCCCAAAAAACCTGAAATTCTTGCAAACAAACCCAAACACCTTCTTCTTCCTCCTGCCATTAACGCATCTCTACCTTGGTTGCTGTTTCTTCTTAGCTTCGTCTACATCTTCTTCTTCGTCTGCATCTTCTTCTTCGTCTACATCTTCTTCTTCCTCCTTCCTGTACATCTTCTTCTTCCTCATTCCTCTATATCTTCTTGTTCCTCCTGCCGTCGGCGTCTCCTCTACGTGTGGACCACCTTCAATGGTCAGATGATCCACCGGAGCAGCCATTGAACTGCTTGCGCCACCGGAATCTAGGATTCGAAGTGGCGTTGGGCTTCCCTCCTCATTGTCAGTGTCACTCATGGTTTTGGATTGAATTTGGTGTCAAAGTTTGCAGTTTCGATTGGAAATCTGGACTGTATCGCCGGAAATGGCATAGTTTTTGTTTACGGTTAAGGAAATCGATTTTAGGGTTCAACAAATCGATCGAAAATCGCGACTGTATGCGCAACTATATTCGGTTTAGGGTTCAAGAAATTGATTTAGGGTGCAAATCAATTGGTGTTCGATCGAAAAAAATCGCGTCTCCCTTTTGTTTAAGAAATCGCGTTTTCAACTGATGAATTTCGATTAAGCGAGGTGAATAGTTAGTAGAGTTTGTTTTGCGAAATATCAAATTTTGAAAACTTTCATTATTTCTGATTCGGCCCACATATGTTTTAATCTTTTTATTTTAACCCATTTTACGTGTTTAATTAATCATAACTACGCCACGTCATCTTCTCTAAATTATAAAAAATTTGATGAATAATTTCAAGGCCATTTTCTTAAATACATACTTGGGGGGACCGGCAGCTAAATTTTCTCATACAAACACCCCGTTAGTTACGGTGCCGAAGACACCCGCAGGCCGCAATACATATACCAGCACATTACGTGGAGTTTTGAACAGTTTTGGTATAAATGTTTTCATTGATGATGAACTTAACAGAGGAGAGAACATTTCGTCGTCTCTCGAGAATGCAATTGAAGAATCAGAGATTTTAGTTATTATTTTTTCAAAAGGTTATGACTCTTCGAGATGGTGTCTTGAAGATCTTGTGACGATATTGGAGTTCAAGAAAACGCAAATTGAGGTTGTAATACCCCTTTTATCACATAGATCCATCACATGTGAGGAATCAAACGGGAACTTTTGGGGATGGATTTGCTAAGCTTGTAGAAAGCTTTAACAAGAAGAAGCTAAAGAAGCTTCAAATCATAGGAGAACAATTGAAAGATAAGGTGCAGAAGTGGAGGAATGCTTTGACAGAAGCAGCTAATCTATCTGGCTGGACATCAGAAGTGGAACCGTCATTTTTCTTCTCTTTAATTTAGTACTATTTAGTTTCCCCTAATTTTAATTTTTATATTATATATCATGCGTATGCATAATCACAATCAAATGCTCATTGATTCAGTTAAATGAATCCACAACAAATCAACTCCCCAAGTTATTAGTGTTCAGTGAACTTCATGACTTGACAAGCGCCAATTCACCAAAATTATTTATATTCTTTGGACCCTTTTGCTTTGCATTTTCACTTGGTGCTTTTGTCTTTTCGTTTCTGGAGAAGAAGGGAAAGTTTGGAAGGAGAGTGGGGTTTTAATGGCGTTTTTGCAGAGGCTAATCTTGAAGAGGAACCCGGTGCTTTATGGGAACTGTAGGAGGAGTCTTCGCAGTTCACTCTCTGCGGTTCCTAGTGATGATGATTCTTCTTCCTTGCCGCCCCAGTTGCCGCCCTTTGATTATCAGCCTAAGCCTTACTTGGGTCCCTCTTCTGACAAGTTCTTGAGAAAAGAAAGCACTTTTTGGGTCCTTCTCTATTCTATTACTATCAAAAGCCTGTAAGTTTTTGTGTTTCTGGGAAATGCGTTTGTTTTAACATAGTCAATTTTTAGTGTTGTTGTACTAAAAATATGATCTTTATCTTAAAGCTGAACTCTTTTTAAGTTGTGTTGTTTGTGATTACTAGTTGTTATGGAGCTTAAGTGCTTCTATTTGAGAGGTTTTTTATTTTTTTTTATTTTTTTTTTTTTTTTTTGGGTGCATTTGAAGGACAAAGAGTAGTTTACTTTCGTCAAATGGATTTTTTTAGTTCATGGCTTGTTATGTTGTTTATGAATTATATATTCTTTTGTTTTGGGCCTTTGTATGAACTGGAGTCATAAAATTTTATGAACTTGATTCATAAAATTTTAGTTAATTTTAGTTAATTTTATAAGCATACTCGATATGAAGTTAAGAGAGTTGCATAATTGCTTAATTTCTACTTTAATGATCACTTTTTATCAAAGAATCCAATTAGGTGTTATTGTTTTAAGTTATTGCTAATATTGTTGGAGAGAAATGGAATATCTATGTGAGAAGAGTGTGCTGAATTTTTATGAACTTGTTTAAGTTTTTGTAATGTTTGGTTTGTAAAGCAAAGTTGTACGCAATTACTGAGCCAATTTTATTGCATGATTGGTTATTCTTTATTTTTGCTGTTCCTTGTTGTGATTAGTCGGTATTATTTCTTTGTTTTGGTATACATCTCAATATTGTTCGAAGGGAAAATGCAATACTTGCTTGACGGGAGCAGGAGGCGGTACCTGGCTGCTTTTGCTGGAATAGTTACTGTGTCTTGTGGGCATTGCCATCCTGATATCGTGAATGCTATTACAGAGCAAAACAATCTTCTCCAGCATGCAATGACTATATACTTACACCATGCTATAGCTGACTTTGCTGAGGCATTAGCATAAAAAATGCCTTGAAATCTAAAGGTTTTATTCTCGAGTCTAGCACTTAATGTCATTCTTTCCGTTATATGGTGATATTTTTTGAATGAGGTTTTCATTTTATAACATTACACATTAAGATTGCCACTTTATAACAACATTATGATGACAATATAAACATCTTTAATTACTTTGAGATTTGAAATGCAGGTTGTGTATTTCGTCAATTCTGGGACAGAAGCAAATGAACTAGCAATGTTGACGGCCAGACTTTACAGTGGTAATCTTGGCATGATTGCCCTAAGAAATGCTTATCATGGTGGAAGCTCCAATACAATTGGACTGACTGCCCTAAAGACGTAGAAGTACCCCATACTACAGGTTTGTTGATGTTCCATATGTTCGGAGGATATGTACTTAACATGGTTTTTTGTTTGATAAACTATTGATATCTGGAATTGTTTGCAATGACAACATAGTGTGCAACTCATCATCTCAGGAACATTAGGGATTAATAGCATTTCTTTCTTCTCTCATACTCTTTTCGCAAGGGTAAGCTGGTTTAGTTAACATGGGGTGTGAATTACAGCTTTCTTTACAAATACTGGCAGCTTATTTCTTCAGTCTTATCTTCTGACACACACCCATAACTGTAGCAAGTTTTCTGAAAAGTTTTAGTGAAGAGTAAAATGATTTGTATCACATGTATTTAGTTTATCCTCTTTATTTGTTTATTTAATGAAAAGAAAAAATAAATAACATGTTTAAGAGTGAAATTCAACTTTTGTTCATAATCTGACCTGCCACTTTGCAGGGTGAAATCCATCATGTTGTAAATCCAGATCCATACCACGGAATCTTTGGCTCGAATGCGGCCCTATATGCCAAAGATGTCCAAGATCACATTGATTTTGGAAGTTCAGGAAAAGTTGCTGGTTTTATAGCTGAAACCATTCAGGTTTTGATTGATAGTTGTCGCTAAAGATATATATAAATTTGGTGCTTTCAACAGCCCTGAATTCGTCTCTAAAAAATGCGCTTCCCTTTTTCTAAATTTTGACTGAATTTAGGGAGTTGGTGGAGCAGTGGAATTGGCCCCTGAATACTTAAACATGTTTATGACATTGTGCGCAAGGCTGGTGGTGTCTGTATTGCTGATGAAGTGAAACTGGATTTGGTCGCAGTGGAAGCCACTACTGGGGCTTTCAGGCACAAGGGGTCATTCCCGACATAGTTACCATGGCAAAGGTTTTGATGATAATCCTTTGGGTTCTTAATGTTGCCTTATGCATAAAAAATTAGCCTTTTTCAATATTATCACCAATTTAGTTTTTTTTTCCTCTTATGGTTCTCATTCAAATAATTCATTTACATTAAGATAATATCATTTTCCAGGGAATTGGCAATGGTTTGCCATTAGGAGCTGTAGTGACAATCACCAGAGATAGCTAGTGTAATGGCTCAGAAGATTCAGTTCAACACTTTTGGTGGAAACCCAGTATGTTCTGCTGGGGGCCTTGCAGTGCTTAGGGTTATTGATAAAGAGAAGCGTCAAGCACATTGTGCTGACATTGGTTCTCACCTGATTGGATGCTTGAGAGCTCTACAAGAGAGACATTATAGTAATTACTCTTGAACTCAAAACTTCTCAGAGTTTTTTTTTTTTTCCCCTCTTTTTTTCTCAATTGACTGTGTTTGACTTTACGTTAAATTGAACTGCAAATTTGGCGAGATCTGGGCTATTTAACTATATTTTTATATCATGTAAACAAATGTCCTAGACAGTTTCTGAGTAAGCTCATTACAGTCATACTAAGACTTTGAATTAGTGTTATGTGCCAGCATGCACACATATTCTTTCTACACCTCTCCAGAATTATATGAACTAAGCTCCTCAGGAATATGTATATGAGTGGAAAACCCAAAGTTTTGGATCTATTTTCGTTCTATAGGTTTTCATGCGGCACCGAAAATAAATCATTCTGCTTATAACGACATTTGGAGATGTATGACAGAAGCACCAATTGACATCACGTCATCATATTGAAATGATGGTGTGATATGACTACTATAGATACTAATAATAACATGTCCTTTGCTTATAACAGCTGTTTGAGTATCTCAGATTAAATGCTTTGGAATTGCAATTTTATTATGCAGCTTTTGTCACATTGATGAAATCTTGTTTCAGTCATTGGAGATGTGAGAGGGAGAGGAGTCATGGTGGAAGTAGAATTAGTAACTAACAGGGAGGAGAAGACGCCTGTGAAGGCCAAAACTGCGGTCTTGTTTGAGAAATTAGAGGTACAATTAACCAACTTTCTTCTTCAGAGAAAAGCTCTTGATTCTCAATTTACATTGACTCGTTGCAATTGCAGAGCTAGGTGCTCTTGTTCGGAAAGGTGGACTACATGGAAATGTTTTCAGAATCAAACCACCAATGTGTTACACCAAAAGATGATGCAGGTAACTTTCTCTGGCTTCCTTTCATCAAATAGGTTTTAGCAGTAGCCGTTGAATCTGTTATTGTAAATTTGTTTCGTCGTAATGTTTAATCACACTGTTCTGTTGTGGAAATGCAGAATCTCTTGTTGATGCTTTGGACTATGCAATGTCAAAGTTACGGGAGTATTAGTCTTTTAAGAGCCTGGGAAAATCATTCAAATCCTTTGAATATCATCCTTTGAATATCAATCTCTTTAGAAAGCTTATTTTCAATAATATCAAGCATTTTCCCACAAATTTCAGCTCACTGTTAAATGATGAAATGTTATTATTTCACAATATTTTCTAGGTGGGTTAATCAAAGTACATAATTGTACTTCTTTGACCGTTAATCCCTCCCTGCAAAAGCGGAACGTTTATATATCATCTAGGCTCACCGTGGATTTTGGTCATGCCAAATATTCATATATAAATTCTCATGTGTGCATATCTTGTAGTTTCTAAAACGCGGATTAACGACTAATTGTTGAATTTTGATACGCATGTACGTCATCATCAAAGATTGGCAATATCTATGTACATCTTTTAGAGAATGATTGTGATAATCTTGAATACACTCTTGATTGAAAATTTTAACTATTTGAGTTTTAATGGCGATAGAAGTATGTTAATTTAGCAGTTTATAAGTTTTGGTCCCCATAACCTTACAAAAGGAACAAACCAATTAACCAAACACAACATCATAAGAAGACCAGAATAAACCAGTAAAGGCAGTTTACAACAGTGAAAAGAGTAATCAACATCATTCCACTGCCAGCAAACCAAACTTCAGACAAAGTAGATGGTAACTCTGTTGAAGCGCAACAGAAAAACCATCCGGCGGTAAAATGTTATGTAGAAATCTGGAAATATCTGTGATAATATTGAATGCAATTTTGATAAGAAGTCTAACTATCTGGAAACAAATCTGATAGTAACTGACTCTAGCAACTCAACAATTGAGTTGGGCAATGAACCTTTTACAGGCTTGAGTTGAACTCTTCTTGAAAAACAAGCTTGCCAAATGAGGTTTTCCAAACCCTTTATAAACCAAAATGCCCACCATTGTCCCTTTTAATGTGGGATTCTAATATTCCACTATGCTTCCGTAACCGATTCCACATCGGCTTCTTTATCCCTTGGTTGACTACGCGGATCCCCTTTCCCTCGAGCCTCCATGCCCTTTCTTGGGGTAGCAGTCCGGGCCCAAGGTCAGCCTGCTAGGTAGGCGACATCCCATGGACACAAGATCATACTCTAATACCAATTAATAGAAACTCACACCAACAACTCAACACTTGGCTGGGCATCTAATAATGCAAAATAAAAGACGAAAGCAGCCTCAGAATGCAGAAATACTGTATCAGGAAAATTTTAGGTTCACAATAAACTAGTGTTTCAAACAAAACAGAACATTCAAATAATGGCGGCTTACAACACTATTAAAGTGCAATCGGCATAATTTCACAGTACAGAAAACCAAACACCAGAAATATTAAAACAGCATGTGTCCACTCACAGTAGTCCGCTAACATAATTCGATTCCAGGGAAGAAAATCCAGAAAACATGGAGATGACAGTCATCAGAATATGTGTCCATGCGCCAAGATTTCAGCTAAATCATTAGCATATTCACACAAGATCAAGCCAGCCTGAAAGCACAACGAATAACATAAAAAAAAGCTACTGCACAATTATTGAATAGAATGGAGAACGGCAGAGCATATGACATGAATATAGATTGCTGAAAGCTAGCTGATAAATTGCCATGTGCGTAGGGCTTCATGAGTTTCATAATTCATATATATGTTTTAAAAAAAATTTCCCTCCGTTTATGACCAGAAATGGAGTAAAAAACATTGATTTTCCTGTGGCGTGTTTCCTAACAAAGCAAGAAGAAACCTGCTGTGCTGAATTTGCACATGCATCAGCCATCATTTTACCCCCTGAGGGACATGGCGAAGTGAAAGGGAATCGTTCAAGTTGTTCCAATAACCTCATATAATAAGCTCATAGGTTTGGAGTTACATCACCTTTCCTTTAAGAAGGTTCCAATTAACCTCCAATTTCGACGCCTGGTCCATGCGCTTCTGTTGCACAAGGTGTGCATACACTTTAAACCAGATATACACTGAACTGTAAAATGCAATGAATATTTACATCAATAAAAAATATAATAACATAGCCACATGTGAATAAATTCAAGATCACTTTCTATGCATTATGACTTATGATCATTGTATAATCGTTTTCTTTTGAAATAAAAAGGTTAGTTACACTTCACCTATAAGTCAAATATTGGAAACAAAACCGAAATAATTTTGTGAATTTAATCCAACTTACTAATCCCTTCTTATTGGTGGCTTGTATATTTCTGGATGCGGGGACCAGGCATTTAAAATTTCAGATGGTTTATATTCGTCCATTTCATCATGTTTCACGCAGCAATGGAGATAGCACCTCACGCAGCAATGGAGATGGCACCTCAAACAGCCTTTTATAGTTTGAAATCTCCGGTCTCTTTTCACTCTTGCATCTGTTTTCTTATCATTATATTTGGTGTACAACAATCTGACTCCACACTTTTTCACCTTCCTTTTTTCTTTGCAATTCGTACTTTCATGCTCAACAAAGAACTCCACGTAGTCCTTGCTATTCAATCTGACAGAGAGCAATTCCAAGGACATGATATCATAATCATATCCTAAGAATACATGATCTGATTCAATAACCTCATGCCCATATCCATTAAACAAACAGCCAGCAGAAACGAACACCCCGTTAACAAACAGATGACAACGAACTTGCAAAGCTCCAGCCTCTTCATAGTCTCGGAATGATGCAACAGCGCAAAAAGCAAAACCAATTAAGTCATCATTGAGCCAATCTGATGGAAACTCTATATGACCATTCTGACTTGTAAAGGTAAACCAAGCTGGAATTTCGCTTCCAGGGTAACATATAGAAGCCTTAGGCAGGCTATATGCCTTTGCCAGGCTATATGCCTTTGGCAGGAGGCTATATGCCTTTGCCAGGCTATATGCCATTGGCGGGCTATATGCCTTTGCCAGGCTATATGCCTTTTCCAGGTTAACCCTTGACAGCAAAAATGTTGTGTTTTCCTGTGCCAAGAAAATTATCAACTTCTAACCTTCTTAATTTTAAATATTCTATAACATTTTATTTATAAAAGTAAATAAATTTTTATATTATATATTATGAAAAAGAGAGAGAGAGAGACATAGACTTACTTCAGAACTAAACCATAGATCTGCATTTCTCTCAATATTCGGCAGAGTATCTGTTAAATCAAGTTTCAGATTGCAACAATTGATGAAGCTAATTTCCTCGTTGTCAGTCCCCATACTTAGGCATTGAGTTGGTAAACCTGATACCGCTTCCAGTGATGTGCAACCCTTTGCTTGTATACGTAGTGAGTTATCTGGAAGTTGCGGTATGGATTTCAGCCTTTCGCAATTGCTTAAATCAAGTTCATACAACATAGAGAGGTCTTTGATACTGTCTGGCAGACTATCAAAATTGTTTCCGCCAAGATATAGAAATGTCAGTGAGTGTAATTCGCCAAGATTTTTGGGTAACACTTCAATACAACAGTTTTCCAGATTTAGCTGCTCCAGTTTGTGGCAGGCCAGATTTACTGGTGGCTTCTGAAGCCCACATCTCATGAGAGATAATTTCTTAAGGTTGTTCAAACATGTTAAACTCAATGACGATATATCTGTTATACCAACTCCTTCCACTTCAAGTTCCTCCAGTGCTTTTAAATTTTTCAGGCCATTAGGCAATCTGTCAAGTTTTGAAGAACCTGAAAGATAAAGACATTGAAGAGATTTAACCTCACAAATGCTCTCTGTGAGACTCTCTAGTCTTAAACAATTTTTAAGACTCAATATCACTAGCTTAGACAGATGCTCTAATGGTGGCAATTCTTCAATTGCAGTTCCATCTAAATATAATTCTTCTACACTTCTAGGGATGCATGGAACTGTTTTGATCTTTGAACAATTGGAGAGAATAACTATTCGAAGATTTTCTGACTCACCAATGCTCTGTGGGAGACTCTCTAGCTCTGAACAATTTTCAAGATTCAATATTTCTAAGTTTGAAAGATGCTTTAATGACGACAAGTCTTTTATTCCAGTTCCATCTAAATATAACTCTTCTACCGTATCGGGGATATGTGGAACTGTTTTGAGATTGGAACACTTGGAGAGAATAAGTCTTTGAAGATATTTCCAACCAGGGTTGATTGGAAGACTTTCAAAGCTTTTACATTCTTTTAGATTCAAGAGGACAAGCTTATTGAGATAACGGATAGATGAGAAATCCTCGTGCAAATTTATACAACCTTGTAGAATCAAGCTCTTAAGATTTGGACATAATAAGAGATTTGGCATTTCGAGTAGATGCTTGGAGTGACTGAGGTCAATATGTTTCAAATTATTAAGATTCTGTAACAAAAGAACAAATTAAAAAGAAAAGTTAGAAATAACATTCAAATATTTACAATTTAAAGCACAAAACGGTAATATAAAAATTAACAAATACCTTGACACTAGTCCAAAGTCGTTCAAGTTTGCTATCAGTCAGGTAGAGTGCAACAAGGTTCTCTGGATTAAAATATTGTGGCAATGATTTGGCAGAATAATTAAACCAACTAAGGTACCTTAGCTCCGAGAAATCAAATTCAAGGTGTTCAAAACCATATACCTTGTTACCATGCGTGAAGCCGTAGGCTTTCAAGAACCTTAGGTTATGCATCTTGTTGAAAGCTTTAGGTCGTAAACGTATCTCTTTTGCTTTAGACATATCCAGGCTTATGCTACGAATAGTTCCTTTCCCCTATACAATCAAGAGCAGATAGATGATAAATTAGTTTGAAATTTCTTAATTACATAATCTGTTAAGTAATTCCTTTATCTAGAGTTTCAGTTAAAAATAATAATAATAATAATAACTGTCAAGCAATTAATTCTCATATAAAACATTTATTTTCAACTTTCTTTTCAAAATATGTAAACATAAGACATCTCAGATTCCCACCCAATCACTTTACCAGTTGAGCTAATTCCCAAGGATAATGGAAGGAATATTCTGCATTCTAATATTTTATTATTTCTCATATGTAAAGTAAAAATAACAAATTAGTGTTTGGCTCTCACCTTATTTGTGGTCAATACTGAATAGATTTCCTCATGATCCCATAACCGACTACATTTGGCAGGATTATTACTTGATTCTTGCCGAACAATTTCTCTTCCCATTGCTTGAAGTAAATCATGCATTGTTATGATTTTGGATAGGGTAGTTATGAGAGACCTTTCAATGAGAACATTTATATAATTATGTGAGCCAAAGCCATAATTGGCATCCAAGACTTCTTCTATAAGAGCTCTTTCACACCCTTTAAAGAAACATGCAATATCCAAAAATACTTCCTTTTGCTTACCATCTAGCCCATCATAACTTACTTTTAACACATTATGGATATCCATATCAGGATCTCTTTTCAAATTTTCTAGAGTACTTTCCCAAACTTTTTTTGTCTTTCCAAATAGAGAGGAACCTAAAACTCTAAGAGCAAGAGGAACACCTTCAGCATATGCTACTGCCCTTGATGATAGCTCAATACAATCTTCTGTTGGACTGTTTCCTCGAAAGGCATAATGGTTAAAAAGTTGAAAAGCTTCATCATCAGATAATCCAACCATCTTGATTATGTGTTTGGGATCCACTTCACATTCTTCTAGTACATGTTCATCCCTTGCCGTTATGATTATTCGACTATCTGGGTCCAAGTAAAAATTTTTCATTAATTCTTCCTTTTGTTTTACTTTTGTCACATCATCAAGCACAATAAGAACATTACCAAGCCTTTTTCTTTTCAAGGTGAATTCAATTCCAGGATATTTATCTCCAAAAACTGCAGACATAAGACTTCGGTGCAAGTCATTTAATCCCCCGCTTTTTTCTGATTCTTCTCTAATATTCTGAATGAAGTAATGAGCTGCAAACTTTTCAGAGATTTTTCTGATTACAGCACAAGCAAGAGTTGTTTTACCTATAGCACCAATGCCCCAAATTCCTAGTCTACGAACACCTTTGGTACATAATAAATTTTCAATTTGCTCGATTGTTGAATCTAGTCCAACTGGGTTCTCATTGTCAATTTCTGAGCACTCATCATTCAATTTCTTCAAAATATTTTCGACAATATTCTTTACAAGTGATGCTTCATCCCTAAAAAGGAAAAAGTAAATAAATAAAACACTAAAATTAGATGAATGAAAATGAAAAAAAGATAAAATAACTTTAATTCCTAGAGCTAAACTCCAGTGAAGACGTTACTTATTAATAAGTGATCAAAGAACGGCTTGTTTTCCATCCTAGGATATGAAAAATGTATGGTATTAAAGTACTCTATGGCATAATAAAGAACCGTCATGACATGAACTAGAATATTTTCTTATTAAAAAATAAAATGTTCAATGGCACCAAATTTTGGATTCAAATAAAATTGATAATCACTTACAAAACTTATAATTGAGATTTCTGTATTTAGTGAGTAGTTTCAGCACTTTTTCTTTCTTTTAAATTAATCTTTTTGTTAAGTGATTCTTTTGACTAGCTTAATGTAGCATTTGTAGGATGTTAATTTTCTTCTTGTTTTGCTGTCATGGGACGACAACGTGTTGTTTGGTGACATTCATCCACCGTTTTTTATTTTTTCATTTTTGTAATTTATTTAAAGAGTTATGCTGGTTTTTTTTTCTTAGGAATTATGTTGCAATTTTTCATTTTGGTAATTAAGTTGTAATTTACTTGCTATACATTTATTGATTAATTTTATATTATTTATGCACTTTGTTGTGTATATATATAGATATATATTTTTTGGAAAAAACAATTAATGTACTAGAATTCAAACAGGGTATTAAATGAAAAAAATATAAAAATTTATATATTTACATTTAAAGTTTTGGCAGTGTTCTTGACCTAAAAAGATGTCGTTCTTGACAATGTCTTGAAGTATCAATGATTCTTAAATCCAGCTTCATAGACACTTTAAAAATTTTCAACAAAACCTGCTTCAATGAAACCAGTTTTTCTAATAGTGATAGCCCCATCAAAAAAGGAATTTTATATATGGAAATAGTTACAAAATTATTATCAAAATCATTAAGGTTAAAAATGTACCACGAAATTGTTCAAAAACTACAAACTTTTTTGGTTTTCATCTTTCCCTTAGCAATTTTATTTTTATTTTCTTTTCCTTATTAATTAGAGTTTGTCTTTAAAGAATTAGGATTCTTATGATTTTCAATGACGGAACCAATTAGGACTTGTGCCATCCCTTAAATTAAAAAATAAAATAAAAGTTGTAAGTTCTCTTAGTCTCTCAATACTTTATACAATTCAAATTACCCCGTCAAATATTTAAATAAAATAACACGATAAATTAGAAAATTTACCCAACTCAGTAGTTAAGCCTAAAAACAAGCTAAATGAGATTTTACATTATAAAGCATAAACAAGACACATCATATACAAATTTAATAATCCAATCCAATAATTAAGCAAAAAATAAACTAAACAAAATTGTAGATTATAAATAAATAAAACACATATGATACAAATTTAATAATCCAATCCAATAATTAAGCCAAAAATAAAGTAAACGAAATTGTAGATTATAAATAAATAAAACACATATGATACAAACTTAATAAATTAAGGTTTTGATATAGGACAAATTCTTTATAACCTAATAAATCATATTCTACTTTTATAGGTTTTCTCATGTTAGATTGATTTCCTTTATTCACTTTATCATTTATTCGATAAAAAACATAATATCAATAAATATTAAAGTTTCAATATTTATCATTATAGAAAAAAATTAAAACATAAAATAAAATAAAAAAAAAATCAAACAGCTGAAATTAAAATTAACAATTACCTAGTGTTATCTGAAGTAAAGCCAGATAGGTTGCCTATGTCCGTCAAAGCAGTCTTCCATCTCTGCAACATCTCTGGATCATCAACCTTAAAACGCTCTTCAAGCTGAGAAAAAGCTTTCCCAAAATCCCCAGTTTGTTTCCTTACATCTGATGGATCTACGTGATAAAAGATCGGAATCAGAATCTGACTATACTTTTTCTTGCACTCAACAATCTTTTCAAGTTCTTTGAGACACCAGCTCGAAGAACCGTACCCTTTAGAGAGAATGATAACCGAGATCTTTGACTGTTCAATTGCAGTCAAAAGAGCTGGAGAAATTTCTTCTCCTCTGTTAAGTTTATCATCAATGAAAGTATTAATGTTTTCCCGGCTGAAGGCATCATACAGATGGCTTCTAAAGTTTTTCTGGGTCTCCTCATCTCGGAAACTAAGAAAAACTTCGTACTTTAGTTTAGGAGTAGTGGAAGAAGAAGAAGAAGAAGAAGAGGAAGCCATTAAGTTCCAGTGATCAGAGGCACTGCAGATAAACAAAACGTAGAGGGCTAAACTAAAACATTACATGAGAGAGTGAATGAGTTCATATTCCACTATCTCTATGTCTTTGATTGATTGCTGTGCCTTTTTCTATTTTATTTTCATCTTTTTCCCCCCGAAGTTGCCGCCTTTTTCTTTTTATTTTTTCATCTCGTTTCCAGGAATACGCATGCCCTAAGCTCTAAAACCAAAGCTAGCGTTCGATTCCATAAATTTTTTATTATTTGAAAGATAAGGATATTACTTAGATAGATTATCATAGGAATTTTTTATTAATAAGAATTTTATATTAATATGATTGGTTAGATTAACAAGGATAAATAATTTGTTCGGTTGAAAGAAATAAAATGTTATCCGAATTTTAACGAGCTTTCTTTTTTAATAATAATATTATTATATAGAGTATTATTTTTAACCCTTTATATTTGAGAATTTAGTTAAAACACTCCAACACAAAAGTTTAAAATTTAACAAAATACTCTCAATCACTTAAGACGACTGTTAACTATCCGCTGTTGGAAAAACACACAACTGGTTGGATCTAATTAACCGTACACTGATTTAGCCGTTTTTTACAATAGATCTAACCCAGAAACGATCAGATCTATAATCACCTATATTACCTACAATAATCGCTATTGGTGTTAGGTGATTACCAAAATTTAGTAATTATTAGAATAAAAAATAGATTATCAGTGTTATCTTTTATGACCCCAAACCAAACAAACCCCAAGGATTAGGTGAGAATAATTTAATTTTATGTTATAATATTGATTAATTAATCAAAAATTTCTCAAAAGGTTCATGAACCAAAGCAGGGGCGGAGCTTCATCACGGCACCGCATATAAGTTATTTCAATATTTATTAAATACTTACAAAATACAAATTTAGAATTATAAAAATATTTTAAAAAATAAAATATTATTTTTGGTTAGTATATATACAAGAACAACTTCAAAATTTAATTTACCAATCACACAATTATAAATTTTAGAAATCACAACAATTATAAAAGTAGCATTTACCAAACCCATTTCAAATTATTTTCAAAGTTGATTATTTAAGGGAAAAATTGATTAAACTTGAAGCTGCAACAATCTCAAACTAACTCTAATAACATTTTGTTTGCTTCTTCATTTTTCATTTTTTTTGTTTGCTGATTACATGATTGCTTAAGAATACTTAAAATTAAAGTGCTTTCACTTTTTGTTCTCTCTTTCACTGCAGGTGATCAAGACCACCATGTGACAATTGACAATTATTATAAGGATTAATAGCCATACAACAAGAAGGCAAAACAATTAAGCAAACACAAGAAACAAAAGCCAGCCTCGGAAGGCAAAAACATCAATACGTGCCGAATAAAAGCAGTGCTCCAAAAAAACGAAAAAAGTTAAAACAGTGCTAAGCAATTAAGATAGGAATGACAAAGAAAGAGTAGAGATTTCATCATCCCAAATACGTAAAATAGTTTATACAAATACAAATACAAATTTGGACTGGTACTCAAGCTAAAGGACACTAAAGCACAAAAACACTCAAACAGGCACAAAGCCATATAGGTCAGGCCTTGGTTTGTTTCCACAAGGTCTGAAATCCGAATTCTCTAGTGGATACCCATATGATTAAAGGGTATTGTTTCCTATTTTTCAAATATTGACACCTACATTGGTAGAAACTATTATTTTTTGTTTTTCAAAAATTATAGAATTCAATGGAAGTTCCAATTTTAAAATTGGGTTTGCAAAATTACTTTTACTTTTTATAATCTAGTCTAAATTAAGACGTCGTATAATTGAGTCTTTCATAAATTTCTAAGCATTTCTACTTTTTATCTTTTTTCTCCAGAGGATGCCTCCCATTTCTTTCTTTCTTTACTAGACTTATAATTGCATCCCCACCAAGAAGCAACTAATAAGCCATTCACATTTGGTGTGATTGTGTTCCACAGATCCATTAATTCACACACAAGAAACTCCTCATATCAAAGGGTTCACATTTACAATGTTGAGAAATTCATAATATGACCTTCTACATTGCCCACTATTTGCTCTGTTACCAAATTCAGATAGGCTTGAAACATTTTTTTTATATTGAAACATGCAACCATAATTTTCGAAAAAGGGTTTTCACAACCGGTGAATTAACCAAGTGGGTTTCAGAAATTGGATCGAATTAAGTGAAATTAGGGATTCAAAAATAACCAAAAAAAAAAAAAATCAATAATGAAGCTAATTAATAGTAAAATGGGTTTTACATACCAAAGCCTTCACTCTGGCTCTTTCTCACTAGTGTGATAATTAGGAGTCGAGAACATCACATTCAATATAGACAAGTAATCGTAGGATCATTTGATTTTATCAATTTTATCCTCCTTGTTATCCTTATGTGTTGTCACTTTTTGACTTGACTCAGAGATTGCAAAATCTTTTCCGCATTATTGCCTTTGTCACTTTTTGACTTGACTCAGAAATGCAATCTCAATGGGCAAATAATGGGCCTTTTTCTTATTTGACTTGACTTATTGAGCCGTGAACATGGGGTGTGATTTGTGACACTAATTCAGTATAAAATTTGATCTTTACGGATAAATATAAATGAATGTTACAAATTTAAGTCAAGTATTTAAATTTACTAAATTTTTTAGTAAATTTCCTTGAAATTGTCTCAATGAATTGCTTGTCCTTGAAGTCAAGCTATGGAAAAGTGGGTGGCTCTTTCTACTTTTGCCCTAAAAGTCTTTCTTTTATATTTACTACCTTATTAAATAAACTATTCAATTTCTTTGAATTGTCATATCTCTTGCTTTGAGTTCCAATATCCACAATTTGTGCTTCTTTACTTTTACTCATTCATCCATAAAAACCCATATCAATCACACCCTAAATAAAACTTACTCTAACAAACTCTACTTGGAACAAAACAAAACACCCATATAATGGCATATTACAACAGTATTATAGAGCAATCAACATCATTTAACTACCCAAAAAAATCAAACATCGCCAACATTAAACATTAACATAGCTGTAGCCTTCATGCAACGTATATAATTAAATTGTATTCCGGAAAGATAATCCAATTGCCAGGAAGAAAATCTAAGAGAAATCACAAAATGCTAGCCATCGGACTGTATGTAACATCCATTGGCTTATTATGCAATTAAATAAAACATGCAAAGGCAACTACTTTGGTTTCGAAATATGGGTAGAATTCTCAGTGATATTAGGCATTAATATTAAGAGTTTTACCGCTTGAAATCAAGATTAACAACATTCAAACAAGAAAGAAAATTAAATCAAGAAAAGTGAAATGGGTTTTATATACCAAGTCTTTTGTCTGGCTCTTTCTCACTAATCAAGAATAGTAAGCGACACAGGAGAGCTCTGTTATACTTATGAGACTAGAAAAACATAAGAAAAGTTATTGATATCCAATCAATTGATTCATAACAATATCCTTAGGTAATAAAAAATGATCAAATAATTTAGCCTCTCCTCACACCCAAAAGTTTTCAAACTATAACAGTGACCTCCGCAAGTCTGTTCAAGAAAATTTAGGGTGCGTTTGGTTTATTATTTTGGATAGGATTTTGGTGATAATATTGGGTTGTTGGATAGGGGAGTATTACGAGGTAAATTTTAAAAATTTATGAAAAAGCCCTTAGGTTTACTAATTTAATTAAAGACCCTAATATGTAAAGTGACAAAAACACCCCCGAAATTTTTCGTGCCAGATTCCGGCCACCATCGCCGGAATCTGGCTGGAAATTTTCGTTACGGCACAGACTGGTCGGATCTGTGCCGTAACACGTCGTTATGGCATTTTCTGGCCAGATCCACCATGGATTTGGCTGGAAAAGGCCAGATCTACGGTTTGTTATGGCTGTCGATGGCCGGAAAAGGCCAAACGAAGGCCATCTAGCCAAAGATGTGGCCATCGTTTTTGGTCAAAGAAATGGCCGTCGCTGACGGCCAGATCTGACCTTTTCCAGCCAGATCTGTGGTGGATCTGGCCGGAAAAGGCCACATCGGTGAACTTCCGGCCATTTATGGTCAGAAGTTAGGCTATTGTACAGATTCTGGCTATCACCGACTGTGGTTGCCAGAATCTGACAAGTTGGGTTGATGGGGGTGTTTTTGTTAATTTTTAAACTTTTTTTTAGGGGGTATTTAGTGAAATTAATAACCTTATGGGGACTAAAAGTAATTAAAAAATAGGGTAATATTTCTGGAATAATGTGCCAAACATTATTTGGAGAATAGGATCCAGAATATGGATAAAAATACTAAGCCAAACATAGCCTTAACCATTTTTCTGAAAATCCTAACATACCCTTTTCTAGATTGCCCCTCAACTAATTGAAAATTCTTGGATGTAGTCCTCCATTTTTTTTAAAGTCCGAATCTCCATTCCTGACGGTAGTTTTACACCATAAGAAAAAATTTCAATCAAATTTCTTGCATAAGAAACTGAAATTTTTTCTTTTCTAGTGTAGAACTGTCGGCAGGAATGCAGTCAAAAAAGATACAGAAATTTGATCTCTTCTAATAAGCTCATCGTCATTAATGAAAGTCTCAATCATTTTCTGACATAAAGCACTATGGCTAGTAAAATAGTCATGGGGTCCTCAACTCTGAAACCAAGAAAAAGATGATACTTTAGTCTAGCAATAGTGGAAGAAGACAACGAAGCCATTAACTTCCACTAATGATAGTCAATTCGCATTGCCAAAACATGGAGAGCTAAACCAAGACATCATATAATTGAGTATTTGCATCAATCTCTAAGCATTTCAACTTTATCTCTTTTCCTGGAAGATGCCTTTGCCTTTTTTTTTTTTTTTTTTTTTGTGGAACCAGACTTATAATGGCATTCCTAACAAGCAACTAATAAACCAATCAGATTTGGTCTGATTGTGTTACATTGATTCATTAATTCATTAATTCACAAACCAGAAATTTCACAGCAAGGGTTCACATTTTCAATTTTGAGATATTCATAATATACCCTTCTGCATTTTGAATTTGCTCTGTTATAATTGAGA